TGCAGCTTTCCTGCTCGTGCTGTGCCCTTTTCCGCTACCTTGGACACGTGTGCATTCCACGAGCAGTCTTTTGCGATCTCTACTCCGAGGTATGTGTACTGGTCCACTACTGCAATCTCCTCGATCCCCCACTTCCATCTATGTTCAGCTGGTTCCTCCTTGTTCTGGTTGCAAACCATGACGGCACTCATCTTAACGTTGGCAGACAATCTCCATTTATCAGTAAACTTCTTCGCCGCGTCAATTTGCAGTTGCAGTCCCTCAGGGGTGTCCGACATACCGACAAAATCATCCGCAAACAGCATTCCTGAAACCGACGTTTCCGTGTCCCCTACTTTCACTCCCTTGCGGACTGCCTCTACGACTTCCAACAGATCGTTGATGAACACCTGGAACAATGTTGGGGACAGCGTGCAACCTTGTGGGACCCCCTGCTCAATGTCGAAGAATTTAGACAGTTCTCCGTCTAACATGACCGCGCTTTTCGTACACTCTGTCACCTTCTCCAGCACGAGTGCGGGGGGGTCTACTTATTGTGACGGCAGAGCTGTTAACAACAGAGCATGGCGCGGACCCTGTGAAAGCAATCACGAGTGGGGATGGTCTACCCGATTTTACAGGCAAGAGTCGCCCTCGGTGTTCGCCGATATGAGTACATACTGAAGGATAGAGGAGGGCTGGAGGTACGGGTCTTGATGCTGGACTTATCTGCAACTACACCCGAACTGCGCCGCGCTGCTGTACTTGTTATGGTTTCACTTTTCGCAAAGGCTGTTCATTTGATAAGTTGGTACACAGTGAGTGGTAAGCAGCTCACATGAACACCCATGCACTCGGCGGAGAGCTGATGAAACCAAACACATGGAAAGTACGCATAGTGCTCAGCTTTTGCGCTCGGCGCCTAGAAAATATGCCACCGTTTCGTTTGTAGCGACAAGCACCTCGCCCTTGTGAGCCCTCGATGTGTTCCCTGTCGAGGCACAAAACGCTTCAGTGTCCAGGTTCTCCGCTACAAGCCACTACTGTTTTTGTTCCCCGAGCCCTTCCCAGCAAGCGAACACACCTCGTTGTAAGCCACTGCTTTCATGTAGTTGTTCGTCATGTCAATCGGTGCCCCAAGAACGACGCTCTCTAGTCCGGTGAACTCGCCGTCGGCGAGGACGACTCCTGGCTCGAACACCTGATTCGGCGTGGAACGCACCGTAATGTGAGCAACAGCGCGACGATGGATGGTGCTCCGAGGTGGTGCAATTACCATCACGTGGCGCCGCCTGACGCGCACTGCCGTAGTTCCAGGGTAGTTGGGGGGATTTGTGCATATTTGCGCGCATGTGCAACTTGTACCGGAGGCCTGATGTTGCCGCCGGAATCAACGGTTTCTAAACAGCGCGCAACACCATAACCTTTGCGGTTCTGCTTCACACCAAATGGCAGGGAACGCTGTTGCTACCATTAATACTGCTGTTCTTCCTCTCGCTGCTGCTGCTGCTGCCGCTGCTGCTGCTGCCATGGGCGTCTGACAAAGAAGCTGCGTTGGTACTCACAGCAGTAGACTGTACTCATAGCCGTAGAGTGTGTCCGCAGTTTATCTATGTAAGCGGCTGCCACGTACAAGGAGGAACGCAAAACCCGAGGCCGACAGAACGAATCTCTGCTATTTAGCTGTACCTCTACAAGGAGAGCTGACACGTCCGGAAGGTCCGATTCGTCCATCAAGCCAGCACGCAGCACATTTTCCTCTCCAGCAACAGGAGCAGAGGAGGTCGAGGCAGAGTCTCCGCCAGCTCTCTTCTTCTGCTGTGGGTATTTCTTCGGCGTCGTCTTCGGCTGGAACGTGAAGAGAGAAGACGGTACGCCATCGGGACCGCTACCCCTGGGATGCAGCAGTCGAGGCCCCGAGGATGCTGAGTTCGGGCGCGTTTGTTGCCGTCGGGTGCAATCGCCAGTAGCGGTGATGCTGCTGGTACCGGTGTGCGGCCTAAAGGGGTGTAGGGTGCTTGCGCTTGGCAGCAACGGGTGTAGTGTAGCGTGCGCGGAGACCAGAGGCCCTCCCACGGTCAGCAACATGTGTCTTTATCGGTCTCCCGCTGCTGTGCGGTTTGTCTTGGCTGGTCTGCGCTTCAAAACCTCCTTCGCCCTGGCGTGGGACCGCACGCACGGGACTGTTGATTCAAAAAACATGAAACGAGGCGTTTAATTTTTTCGCGGCATCGTGTAACCGCCAAAGCGAACCATCACATCCTGCCCCTCCGCGCGAGCTAACGAGTCAGAGACACGTCGCATGACACGAGACTAGGGTGGAGCGCTCGGGAGAGGGAGGGGGCATGTTGGAACCTGACCTTCGGGATGGGAATAGGGCCATCCTACAAAATGGTGGTCAATCAGAGCGCTGGGAAGCAGCCGGACAATGAAAGGTGTGTCAACTGCAAACGCGCGCGGCCCCTCTGCTGCATGCGGTCATGTACTGCTGTGTACAGCAGTGTAGACATATTCCCATTCGCAGCGGAGCATACCTAAAATTCGGCAAAACAAGGGTAGCGATTCTGACGCTGAATAACGTGTTCCTCCTTTCGATTACATGCATAGGAACGGGGAATATATAGGGGCGGGGGGGGGGGGTACATCGGTACAGCAGCACCCAGTGCTCACTGCAGTACGATGCGCGTTTTGCCTACTCTTCCCGCCATATTTTGTGAACTATTCTACATGTCCAGCGACCTTGACTGGATCGCGAGCCCCCCACGAGAAGGAGAGCCCCACAATCCCCCCCTGTACGAGAAGGGCCTGGTCGCCGGGGACGGGCCTATCCTGGGAAAGGGGGCGTACGGCGTGACGCGCCTGTCTAAGAGCTCGTACACGGGCGAGTACTACGCGGTAAGGGGGGGCGGAGGAGAGGAAGGGGTGTGCTGAACTCACGGACAAATCATGAAGAAAAATATAATGGTGATCACATATTGCAGATACTGCATACAACAGCTTCGTACAGAGAATTGCATTTGCGTACTGGTGGTTATGGTTACCAGCGGTAGCAGAGGTGCCACTACTTGCGTGCAGGGATCGGGTGGAGCACAACCGGGGGGTGATCCTGTTGGCACAACCACTGTTGTAGGCGTAAAGCAATTCATCCATCTAAGGATTACGGGAAGGGAGTAAGGCTGTCTCTAATTACGCCAGCCACTCATTGCCCGCGTCCGTTTATCGTTCATGGGATACGTCGCCAACTCGTTCTGCATCTCCCGCTTCGTGTTCTCTCTCTGCTGCCGCCGTTGCCGTTATCGTCGTAAGTTAAAGCAACAACACACACAATCAATCTATCTGCGAGCGACTCGTCGTTGGACGCGGTGTATCACATCGAAGAATCTTGCAACACGAGAGAGAACCGTGCACGACAGGAAATCCTAACCCAGACATCAAAAGAAATGTCCCTTTTGTCGCAGATCTGACATCTTCTCGGTGGGTCTTGCTACAGTATTTTGCGAAGATTGAGACAAATAGACAGACACATCGGTGGGCAGAGATTCTTGCATACACGGGTCGAATTGGGCTGAGACACAGTAGTGCCTTGTACAACTTCTCTCTCTCGTCTCGAGCATCCTTCCCCACGCGGAACTTCATTTTCCGAGCTCGTCGGGCCGTGATCATGTGCGCGATGTACACGGTGGAACAGGTCAAGGTGATGACGAAGGCACGAGTCTCGGAGGGGAGGTCTATCCTCGTCATCCAGGCTGAGATCGACACTCTCGCCCGTATGCAGCATCCCTTCATCGTACACCTGTTCGGGGTACATCAGGTAGGTCTGTCTGTTGTCCATGAAGCCCCGAATACTCATGAAAGTACATGTTCACCTTATTGGGTTCGCCTGTGACTAACGGAACGTCATTCTTGCAGGCTGCGATAGCAAGAAACAAAGGGCGCGCACGGGACGTAAAGAGCTGAGGCACTGTGACAATAGCACCACCCTGCGGGGGGTGTTTTTGCTGCGGAGACTCCTCGGAGCGTTGAGACTGAAGCTGAATGCTCGCAGCCTCTCTCTACCTCCCAGTAATACCTTATTTTTCAACTTAACAGCTCCAATCTAGGGTGGTCATACGCAGACCAAGATCCTGCGCGCGTTGCAGGTGTTCTTTTGTCAGTCACGCCAGACTATACACATGATGTTCGTTTCTTCTTTCCCGTTCCTTCGGTCAGGACGACGTGCGGTGCATGCTGGTCCTCGAGTACGCGGCGGGCGGGGAACTCCTTCACAGGATCCAGACACGGCTGCGGCTCCCGGACGCGGAGGCCAAGTTCTACGCGGCGGAGATAGCGGACGCCCTCCAGTACATGCACAACGAAGTGCGTCTACGGGTTTCGTGTCTAGTTGCGTATTTAGCGTGAGGCAGTGTGTGCTTTTCTTGCCGTGTGCTATGGTCGTTGTGCCGCCGACTTGGCGTTATAAAAGAATGGCGTGCTTCTGGCTGGCGATTGCTTCCGTGCACACACCAACCAGCGGGCTCAGACCGAGACCTGGGACAATATTTGCCGACACTTTGCTTGACTGCCCGTTTGCCGTTTACTCCCTTTCTCTACAGCTTCCATCGTCCCTGTCTCTGGTTCAACGTCAATCTCAGCCCTCACATTGAACCCACGCTCGCAATCGAAGGTGGGCATTATCTACCACGACTTGAAGCCGGAAAATATCCTCCTCGCCGCGGACGGGCACGTCAAGGTCGTCGATTTCGGTCTCGCTCTCGACAAGGAGGCCCGGAAGTGGGACGAGTGCCGCATGGGGACGAGCGCCTACATGGCCCCCGAGCTGGCCAAGTACAAGGTTCAGGTTCGTGCTCTGTTCTACAAGTTTTGTTGCCAAGCTCTGTGCATGTTATGTTCGGCGTTTCCGCTGATCTTGGAATTGTGGTCGATGCATCCGTTCTGTTATGACAATCTCTCCGTCGCTAGGTGGAGTACTCGCCCCCCCTGCGTCCTCCCCGCTGCTGCTGTCTCCTCTCTCCGCCTGCCTCGTGGGCGGTGCTGTCGTACCTTCCCCTCTCACTGTCGCTCCCCGTGCCCGGGGGAAACCGCCGCGTTTCGTGAAAAAACTCGACTACGTTGGCAAACTGTGTTGTCGTTTGCCACACCCGCCGTGTGTGTGTGTCAATCGAAACCACCGACCCTGGCTGAACATTGACCCACCCGCCAGATCGATTTTTTCCGGCCAAGATCAGAACTCGACGGTAGCACCGAAGCTTGGACCTATAGGAAACGTTCTAGGACCGATAGGAAACATTATTGTGGCACTTCTAGTGCAAAATGCTTGTAGTTTGGATATGAAAAATCGTCCTCGACAGACGTTGGGGGAGGTTGTACCCTTCAACTTCTCTCTTCTGTCTACCAACAATTTACATCGATGACAGGGGGCTCACGCGCCGGCGGTGGACTGGTGGTCCTTCGGGTGCGTGGTGTACGAGCTGCTCGGGGGATGCTCGCCCTTCGGGGACTCGGCCGACCTCACCAAGTACGAGATCTATACAAACATCACCGAGAAGAAGCTACGCTTCGGGAAAGGGTTCGGCGCCAAGGCGAGGGGGCTGCTGAGGCGGCTGCTAGACAAGAACCCGGCGACGCGGCTCGGCTGGCAGGGGGTTCAGGTGCTTCAGTGACGGTAGCTGTCGTCGTGAATTTTTTTTCTTTGCTGCTGCTGCTGACGGGTCTTGTTCTTAGCGCCTTCGCTGTGCCGGTGGGGGGAGCTTACCAGGACCTCTATCTGTCTCGGGTCCACGGTCATTTGGATGAATATGCTCAATGAAAAGTCCCAAGTCTCTGCACGGGATTGAGACGTGCATGTAGTAATCGTCGCGGGCGTGCGGAGCCACGGATACAGGGCAGTTGAGTACGGTAACACGTGGGCACGAGTGTGGTACAATATCACTCGCGCTCTTGCTGCTACACAAAAACTGGTCGCCGTCTGTTCTCCGTACACCTCTGACCGTCGTGGTTGCTGCACCACTGCTCTGAACGGTTGGGTGTAGCGCCACACCCGGGATTCCGTTCTGAAATGCAGCATGACATTTTGTTGCGTGTGTCTTCTCCTTCTCTGTTCTTCGTTGGCGCGTCTAGTCGTAGTACTCTTCTCATCTTTGTTTCGATCTCGCATCATCTCCTCTTTTTCCGGTGCTGATGCCTTACGCCACACGTTTCTCCTTACTCTCCGTCTCCTCTGTCTTTCGCCGTAGGAGCACAAGTGGTTCCGCAACGTCGACTGGGTGGCCCTGCGGGACAGGCGCATCTTTCCGCCATGGGTCCCCCCCAGGATGAAGCCCGGGTGCACGCAGTGCTTCCTCCAGTGGAAGCCAGAGCCACCCGCGGGGGCGGGGGCGGGGGCGGGAGGCGCGGGCGAGGGCGGCGGGGACCAGTCCCATCCCCCGGCGGACCAGGTGCACGAGTATTCTCGAGTAAAGGTGCCGCCAGGCTACGCTCTCCGCCCGCTGCCCCCTCCACAACCGCCTGTTGCCGGTGAGACGTGTTCCATGTTGCGGGGAAAGTTCAGGGGTTTAAACCAGCAGAAGCAGTGGTACTGGGTTTGTGGTGGCCTTTCTTGCTGTGCTGAAGGGCACTTCTGGTCTTGAGGGAGGGGGTCGCTTCAGCTCGAGGGGTCGGTGAGGGGACACCACGATCGGCTTCAAAGTTCGAGTTTCGGCGTGCAGCGAATGATGACATAACGGCCGAGAAGGGACAGAAAAGCCTCGTGGTGCACACGCGTACGTTTTGTTGCCCCCGGTATGTGATATCTCGCTCCCAGACCACTGCAAAACGGGAGCACAAGTTTGGCGAACCGTTGATGGGGGGGGGTGCACATAAACACCTTCCCTGTTTTCCTGTGATCTATTCGTGCTCCCCATTCACGCAGTGGCCCCGCAAGCTGATTCGCACGCTCTCCTCAGTGCCCCGCTTTGTATATCGTAACAAGATGTACGTTTCGTCTATCCTGTCTGTGGTGTCCTCGTGAAAACGTATCACTCATGCGAACTCTCTCGCTATTCTCGGCCCTCCCTTTCTCGTCACTTTTGGTTTGTCGCGCCCACGCGTGCATGGACAGCAAGCAAGAGGAACGGAACCAACGGGAGTAAGAAGATAGATGTGGCGAACAGCAGGTTTCAGCAGGCCGTGTTGGATACCATGGGCGGAAGGTGGGTAGGCGATTACCTTTTTGCAGTCGACATCAGTCGTGAACGAACACATTCTACATCCATCCCAAGATTGACCCTCCGGGCGAAATTCCGCCGTTCCAAACCAACTTGGTAAAAGATATTGCTTAGTTTTTGAATTCGACGCACTTACTGAACGGCTATAGTTTCGAAACACCTGCACGCGGCTGTTGGGGAGGGGATTTTTCGTGCCCGGAGCCGTCTGTGGTACTTAATCATCCGAGTCATCGTGGTGTCGTGCAATTCCCGTAGCCACTTACTGCTGCTGTAGCATACATTCGTTCTCGGCCGCATTTTCCCCTCCTGCCAATCCAGTTGGGGACTTATATAAACTCGTTTTTGGTTTGTTTGTGATGCGGGGTTCGAGCGCCCTGATGACCCATGCCTCTCTCGTTCCTCTGCGCCGCGACACCATTCTGCGGCGCGTTACCCTTGCACGAATCCTTCTTCGCCGCCATCTCCCCGACCAGGGGAGCGCCTCCAACGGCAAGCAGACAAAGTGGCACAAGCTCCGGCGGCGGCATCATGGCATCCTTGGACCCGTCGGCCTCCGCCGCGACTGGCAAGCGCCGTAGCAACGACGGCGAAGGTGGGGGAGGGACAGGGCGTCGATGTCGGGACGGCTCGAACGCCGTCGGGTCGCCGGGGGCAGGGAACGCCAAGAGACGCTTCAAATCCGCAGGCGAGAGAAGAAATACGCAGCAAGCTGCTATAAGCAGACGAGAGCAACCTCGTCGCTCAATGCATGCGCCTGTCCGTCAACATTCGAAAGGGACCCGTCGTTTGTTGCTGCGGTCTATCTGTCGTTTTCCACCAAACAAGTATCACTCCTGCTCGCGCGAGTTGAGCACAGCAAGATGCCATGTTGGTGGCATGCGCGCTCTGGGTCTTGCGTATATTTCCTTTGTGTTCTCCGCCCCTGATACTGTAAGCCACAAACACGAAACGGACTTCCATCCGTTGTCCTTGTCTTCGCCCGCGTAGCTGCGCGTGTCGCTGCCGGCGGTTGCGGCAACTACCACGCCGTCGATCGGCGGCACCATCCGGCGGAGGCGCGCCCTGCTGGCGATGCCGCCGCCAATCGTCGTAGCCACCATCGACGTGGGAGTCCGGGCGGAAGTAACGGCAGCGGCGACGGAGGTGGTGGAGGGGGGGGTTCGAGTACAGCGGCATCGCCACCTCTGGCGCGGGCGCCTTCAAAAAAGCAGCCAGCGCGTGGTGCCATCGCATACCGATGACGAATTGCTTCTTGAAGGGAGTGTTTGTTGTATCCCCAATGTCGCGCGTTGAGGTGGTTTGCGTTCACGCGAAGCCCCGCGGGCTTTTCACGGGGACAGAGCCAGACAACCCCAGGCCAGAGGTCCAAAAAGAGGTTCACAACTGCCAAATGGCATGTAAGAAAAACTCAGCCCATTGCAGACATGATGTGGGATGATGATAAGCTCTGGCGTCGACGGAAGCCACGTTTTCCGTTGACCATCGAAGGCGGGAAATAAACCGTTTCATGCTCTTCGTACAAACCGTCCTGCTCTCTACCCGTTGCGATGCTCTATAAGGCAGCGACAAGAACTTTCGTGGCCACAACATGACCCCCAAAATTTACGCCCAAGACCGTCCGACCTCAATACATGCATGTTATTAACCACGTGCACAACAAGAGTCGACTCCAGAGGCTCGTTTCATCCTTCAGATCACTCCCAATGCCTCGCCTGCTTGCAAACACGCAGCAGCCTCTACTTCGCACCCAACCTACGCCCCATTCGCGAAAGAGAGACCAGCAGTCGCCTGCGAGTCGTGAACGAAAAAATCCAGCCGCCAGCTTGGGGCACGGCAAAATCTTCCGAGGCGGCCGGGCCAGGGAGTGTTTCTTGCTGGACCAACTATTAAGCCACGTCTATCGTTTGTATACCAAATCAACCGAAGCTTTCGCGCCCCAAAACAACAAAACAACTATAGACCAATAAGCTTCTTCCACTCACTGACAACAACAATGGCCTCCTCCTCAGACACGAGCGGAAACCACCTCACGCAGTCGACCTGCTTCAAGCCTGTACACAATATGGTATGACTCGGGGTATGCGTAGCACATCGCCAATATCCCGACACATCGATACGCAAGCCCTGCAACAACCGCGGGGGGCTCTTCCGTGCCACCATCTGCCAGAGCCCACACCAGTGTTGCACCCGACGCCGCTGCGTGCCCACACGTGTGTGGCCTGCACGGAGCAATATGGGTACGTACGTGTAAGGAGGGCCGCAACAACACGTCACCCCCGAGAAATCCATACACTTGTGGTTGCCCTCATCATATCACCACCAGTGATTCTACGCTTGCGAGCACCACGGCACATCCGCCCAACATATATAACGTCCCTTGACAGAACACATGGAACGGAACGGAAAGACAGGTTTTTGTACACAAAAAGCAAGGACGGGCGATTGACGGCCCTCAAATAAAATAAAAAAAGAGAAGAAAGGAACGAAATCGCCGTCACCGCCGTCGTATCGTGCGAGGCAAACTTGTGCGCGAGGTCGAAATCTCCCCCGAGGAGGAGGAGGAGGAGGAGGAGGAGGAGGAGGAAGAAGAAGACGACGAGAACGACGTGTCGTCACCACTGGCGGCAGCCTCACTCCCCCCGCTACTTCTGCCGATGCCGCCGCTGCTGCTACCGACACGACCGCCGCTGCTAGTAACGCGCCTCCCGCTACCGCCCGACCTCGGACGACGAACGCCGCTCCCGCTCCCGCCGGCGCCGGGTCGGCCGAACAGGGTTTCAACGGAGGCAGTCGACCGGGCCGGGAGCCTCTTGGAAGGCGGCGGGCGCACGGCGAAGGGCTTCGACAGGAACCCGAACAAGTGCGAGACGTGGTCCGCCATACTGTCTCCCGACTTGCTCCGCTTTGTGCTCGAGCCAAGCGCCTGCCACGGGTTGGGCGAGGGTGGGCGTGTGTTGGTCGGCGAGGGCCGGGGAAAAGGGGTCCACGTCGGTTCCGCTCTGGCGTAAATCTCATTGGCCATATGGTTAGCGTGGTCCAGTATAGGGGGTTCACATTCACACGCAGACACACACGAAGGGGGAAGGAACTGTTCCCAAGGAAAAATAATGAAAACAGCTTGCGAACGCTGGAAACTCCGGCAAAGCCGGGTAGAGCGGGGCGGATGCAGCCAACGACGTGTCGGGGACCCCGCGGACCACACATTTTGTTGTGTTTGTTGTCCCGCTTTCAAAAGATGTGGTCATCCTGTTGCCACATGGTTGGTGCTGGTTCGAGGAACATCATGCTACGCACACCACGCACGCATACAAGCATCGAACGAAACGAGGGAAGAAAAGAAGAGAAAAAAAAACGCCGCGAATGTCAAGGGGGAACTATTTCCTCGACACAAAAACTCCCCGCTCGGTTCACCTTGCGCATGGTGAGCTTCGACGTCCGCACGTTCTGCAGCAAGAAGC